TATATAGATATATTCGTCCAACTTCATACATATGTATACCCATTTTGAATTATAAAAGATGAGAATAGTATCTTAATAAAATACTTTTTTGTTAGCAATGAAACACTTGCTTATATCATTTACTTAATCATCTGATTAACTTTAAAATATCCATATTCTATCAAACAATATATGTTTCTTTGTATTTCAGATTATGTTTTTAGAGGTAATATGGGAAAATGAAAAGTAAAGAAAAAATTTCGAACAAAACTAGAAAAATGAAATCAACACAATCACCAAAGGAATGAAGAAACTGGACTTTTATATCAAGATCAGATGGATATTTGCTGTAAAAATGTCTTTTAAGTTCACATTATAACATCTCTGATTTTTCTGAAGTCACTTTGAAACCAAAATTGATATAATTAGCTTGGGATGGGAAGTGCACTAGCGACGCTATGTGGGCAAGCATACGGAGCGGGTCAACTAGAGATGATGGGAATATATCTTCAAAGGTCATGGATCATCCTTAACTCTTGTGCCCTTCTTCTTTGCCTTTTTTACGTTTTTGCCACTCCACTTTTGAGTCTCCTCGGACAGTCGCCGGAGATCTCTAAAGCCGCCGGAAAACTCTCCCTCTGGATGATCCCTCAGCTCTTTGCTTATGCTGTCAACTTCGCCACCGCCAAGTTCTTGCAGGTAACATAATCCAAAACATTTTACCTTTAAAGGTTAAACTCGCTGAGGATTAATTGTTCAAAACTTTGGTATAATTGGCATGGATTAACAATTATTACAGGCACAAAGCAAGGTGATTGCAATGGCGGTTATAGCAGCGACCGTCCTGTTTCAGCATGCTATATTGAGTTGGTTGCTGATGCTGAAACTTGGTTGGGGAATGGCTGGTGGAGCCACGGTACTCAATGTGTCGTGGTGGTTGATAGATGGAGCTCAAATAATTTACATATGTGGAGGTTCTTGTGGCAAAGCTTGGTCAGGGCTCTCATGGAAGGCTTTCAAGAATCTCAGAGGCTTTGCAAGATTGTCCCTTGCCTCTGCAGTCATGGTTTGGTGAGATATCAAAACCTTTAGGAATCAGATTGATACACAATGGCTTATCAAATGATAGGGGTACTAAGTGACTTTATGCTGTTGGTTTCAGCCTAGAGGTTTGGTATTTCATGGCGTTGATTCTGTTTGCGGGTTACCTAAAGAATCCTCAAGTCTCTGTGGCTGCTCTTTCGATTTGGTTAGTTCTAAGTCCGTATGAAGCTTGTGTTTCGGTTAATAACAGAACTGACACCGTTTGATTACAGTATGAACATATTGGGATGGCCTATCATGGTGGCCTTTGGCTTCAATGCCGATGTGAGGTACATTACATTGCAAAACATCAATCTACGCAAAAACTCTTTGATAGGCATAAGATGAAGCAAACATGTGTTATATGTGCAGTGTAAGAGTATCGAATGAGCTTGGAGCTGAACACCCAAGAAGGGCAAAATTCTTATTAATAGTGGCTATGATAACTTCTCTATCGATTGGAGTTGGGATCTCGATGGTTCTCATCTTGTTACGAAACAAGTATCCAGCGATGTTCTCTGATGATGAAGAAGTGAGAGGACTTGTGAAGCAGCTGACTCCGTTGCTGGCTCTCACAATCGTCATCAACAACATTCAGCCTGTTCTTTCTGGTAATTCTCTTGCAACCCTAGACTGTAACAACTTTAAGGCAATTATGTTCAAGCTAATGCGGTTTTGCTATGCTATAAAAGGTGTAGCTGTTGGAGCTGGGTGGCAAGGGATTGTTGCGTATGTGAACGTTGGCTGTTACTATTTATGTGGTATACCTATTGGTCTTGTGCTAGGATACAAGATGGAACTTGGAGTAAAGGTATGTATAATCTTGAATTCTAATCAAGATAATGAAATAACTAAGAATAGGGATAAGTTTTTAATTAGTTGTGAATACACGTAATAGAGGGTATGGACAGGAATGTTAACGGGAACGGTTGTTCAGACATGTGTACTGCTCTTGATGATCTATAAGACCAACTGGGGCAAAGAGGTGAGAAGCATTTCTTGTTTTCAGAATCAGTTTCGAGTCTTGGGTACTAAAAGATGATTCGTTAATGTTCAGGCTTCATTGGCAGAGGCTAGAATAAGGAAATGGGGAGGCAAAACAGGTCATGAAGGAGAGATTGAAGAGATAAAAAGATGAAGTTGACAACACAATTCAAATGGTGAAACTCATTCAAAGCAAGATGCATGGTCACTGAACTAGTTCATGTCAATCGAAATGTAAAATGTAGGGAAAAAAGAAAGACAAACAAACAGAGAATAACAGTGCTTCTCAGTTTGATCATACAAAAACAAGAATCTAAGCACTGTTACATTACAGAGATTTAACACATAGAGTCCCCCTGCAATTGAAGATCAAAAACTGATGCACAGTGAATCATGGAGTATAGCAGGACTAATTCAATTGACAACAAGAAAGGACAAGGATCACTGAAAAATGAGACTGACTAATGCAATTTCAAGAGTTACTCGGCTTCTTTGTGCAGGCAAGAACAGGGACATGAAATGGAAAGTCCAAGAAATTTCAAAATACAATGCAATGAACCATATCAACATACTTACGACAAAATTGTAGATGTAGAAATGAATCACAGATAAAACCAAGTGAAGAATCTATAGCAAATATTCCAACAATCCCAATATCAAAAACCAAAATTAAACTCAAGATACCAAATATCAATGACATAATCCAGTAATATTGATTCAAAAGATCTCTCATTCAAATATCCAAAACGAAAAAGATAAGTTCAACAAACGATTCCACAAAAAAACTTTAAAAAAACGATACGAAAATTCGACCTAACCTAGGCAGTGAGCACAACAGCACCACCAGCCTCCTTGATCTTCTTCTCGGCGGTCTTAGAGATAAGCTTAGCTTTCACAACGAAAGGCTTGTTCTCAGGCAAATGACCTTTACCCAAAACCTTGAAAAACCCATGCTGCGTAACATCGATCAAAGGAACATTGTCCTTGCTTGATTTCGCCTTCACATCCTCAGGTACGAGTGACCAGAGCTTGTCGAGGTTAACGATTGGGCAGAAGAACTTGTTACGGAGCTTATGGAAATACCTCATACCGACTTTACCGAAGTAACCTGGATGGTACTTGTCGAAGAGGATACGGTGGTGATGCATACCTCCGGCGTTACCACGACCTCCAGGATGCTTGCGATGCTTTCCGATACGTCCATGACCGGCGCTGACGTGTCCTCTCTTCTTCCTGTTCTTCTTCAACGCCGTCGCCATTTCCTCAGATCTAGGTTTCTTCTTTCTCTGAGAAGTGAGAGAAAAAGGTTTTTATATAGAGAACCGAGCGGCTAGGGTTTTATAAAGAGTTTTGGGCTTTTTTTAATGTGGGCCTAGTGGAGTTTTAAGCCCAATGATAACGTAAGAACAAGCCCAACATCATTTTGACCATACTGATTTTGATTCTTCGGTAGTCTCCTTCTCACATAAACCCTAAAAAATCTCGTTTACAGTTAATCGCCGGCGATTGCAAGATGCAACACGATGAGGTTATATGGCAGGTTATCAGGCACAAGCACTGCAGTTATATGGCCAAGTATGTCTTCTTTTGCTTCTTTCCTCACTTGTCTGTTTGGTTTTGTATGACCTCGATTTGTTTTGTTGATTCTTTTGCTTTTTTTTTTGTTACTTGTAGAATCGAAACTGGAATCTTCTGTAGAAACCCTTATAATGTAACCGGTACCTGCAATCGAAGCTCTTGTCCTCTTGCTAATAGTCGCTACGCAACAATCCGAGACCACGATGGTATGTTTTGTATCTGCAAATCGATTTCAAATGAGACAGTTTCTGTTTTGTGTTCGTGTCTTTCAGCTGATTCTGTGCGTTTGGAACACTTGGGATTGATTCTCTGTGTTGTTTGTTACTCAGGAGTCTTTTATTTGTATATGAAGACTATAGAGAGAGCTCACATGCCAAATAACTTGTGGGAGAGAATTAAGCTGCCTAGAAACTATGAGAAAGCACTTGAACTCATTGACAAACACTTGGTGAGCTTGGGACTTTTGAGCCCTTGAACTCTCTTCTTTCTCTTTTAAGCTAGGCAGATTCATCGAGGTTTAATTCTGATTCTTTATCGTGGCAGTTGTACTGGCCCAAGTTGTTGCAGCACAAGGTTAAACAAAGACTGACCAAAATGACTCAAATGCGTATTCGTATGAGAAAACTTGCTCTCAAAACAAGGTTCGATTTTTTGTTCTTGGAATTTGATATCTTGTTTGGTTTACAGATGGCTATGTTCTGATTAATTATGTGGAGCTTCTGTTTCTGAATTCACAGGGAGACGATAATGACTACGCCTAGGAGGCAAATGAAGAGAGAATCGAGAAGAGAGGAAAAGGCTGTAAAAGCAGCCGAGTTGGATAAGGTCACAGTTTTTTTTATTTTTTGAGTTTTGATTTTACTTGCCTCCTCACTCTAGCTCTTAGGTTCTCATGATAGTGCTGTTTTTTTTTACAGGCCATTGAAAACGAGTTGTTAGAGCGTTTGAAGAAAGGCATTTACCCTGACAATGACATACTCAATTACCAAGAGGGTGCGTGGAACAAAGTTCTTGATGCTGCA